AGCCAAGTACTTTTAATGTGATTTTACTCTGGACTCTTCAAGTGGATACCTAAAAATGCGTTCTTTCCTAAAAGTGTATCTTACACACTGATTTTAAATCTTTAACTTTGGAGGTTACATCTGTTCCCACCCAGGTTTTTCTCAAGACAGTGGAATCCTTATGCCGTCTTTCTCCTATGCGGCAGGAGCCTTCTATAAATTTCTTCTCACGTTTCCTTTGGGAGTATGTGCATTTTACAGATCTGATCTGGTGCCCTTCCCAATTCATATCCACACATTCTCTTTCCAATACGGATCTCATGGATATTCCATTATCTGATTGATAATCCAAAATTTCACCCAGAAACAAGCTCCCCAGGTTCCTCTTTTCCTAATATACATTTAGGGGAGATATAAATCCCAGCCCCTAGACCTCTTGTATCCAGTAAAATTTTCTGGCTCTTTTTTCAAATATGTATTTTGCCATTTTTCTTTTCTCAAGGTCTCATAGCGTTGGTAGTTTTGAGCTTTCTTATCCTTTTTGTATGGTTTTTTCCAGTTTAGGTGATTTTGGTTTATTTGGTTAAGATTTCCTTTGATCTTACTCTTTTGACTCCTTGAGGTTCTAATTCTTCACCTAATTAAAGGTGATGTGATATTCTCTTCTCCTGTGTTTGAATTGTACAGTCTGCCTTATTATTTCCATTTTGTTTGATATTTTTATAAATGCTCTTGCCTTTTCTTCCTCCACTAAGGACTCTGAGCGGAGATGCATCATTATCTTCTGATAATGTGTAATGCATTCATATAATTTTAAATTCGATTACTGTTCATCTTTGGGTTGACATGTTCTGATTTGTATTTCTTGAATTATCAAAAATGTGAAAAACATAAAGACCTTTGACTTTTGCCTACATAGGTTAAGGAATTTAGCAAATTTTTGTCTCCTCATCTTTCTTAAAATACATTCCAATATTTGTTATAGTATCTGAACTCTCATTCAGATTATTTGCAAATCATTATTATTTTAGTCTTGCAGATCTTAATTTCTATTTTCAAAATATATATGTAGTTTAGTCATATTATAACAATTATTTTACTCAATCATTTGTTTAAACAGTTTCACTGCTAACCATCAAGACTTTTCCAGTCCTGAGTTAACTGTTTTTATACATCTTTAGATCAACTAGAACATCTGTTTAACTTTATTAGAGAAGCTCAGTCAAAATGCCTGGGAAACGTTCACTGCTGACTTGTAAGAAAGACAACTTGGATGTGAATAGATTTGGGGGGATACAAATTTTTCCCCTGAAATCTCTCCTAAGTGGAAGGAGCACAGATGTTCATCAACATGGGGTTAAATATATAGAGGTCCATCAATACAACATCTTATGATGCTAGTTTTTAGAAAAGAAACAAACAAAAAGCTCTCCATACATAACATGGAAAGATCTCCAGGTTATAACACTGGTGAAATGAAAACATCATGGCACACTGCACACCCATGTTCAGAGGAGCACTATTCACAATAGCTAAGAGGTGGAAGTAACCCAAACATCCATCCATAGTTGAACAGATAAACGAATGTGGTACATACATACAGAATATTATTCAGCCTCAAAAGGAAGGCAATTCTGACACATGCTGCAACATGGATGAGTCTTACTGACATTATGCTAAAGGAAATAAGCTAGTCACAAAAGACACTGGGATTCTACTCACACAAGTTATCTAGAGTAGTCAAATTCACAGAAACAGGAAGTAGAATGGTATTTGCCTGGGGCTTGGGGAGGGAAGTTGTTTAATGAGTATACAGTTCAGTTTTGCAAGATGAAAAAATTCTCGAGGTTGGTTGCACAATTAAGTAGTTTGCATAAGTAACACTACTGAACTGTATACTTAGAATGGTTTAGATGGTAAATGTCATGTCATGTATTTTTTACCACAATATAAAGATCAGGGTACAGAGTATGAAAACTTCAAGGTAAAAAAAAGGGTTCAAAATATAGATATATCTGTAACTGAATATGCACAAACAGTAAAATTCACACAGGAATGTATCAATAGTAGTTCAAAGTTATAAGTAGGTAGACGTTTGGAACACATAGATGTGCAAATGAGCATTGGGAGGGAGTTTTTTTTAACTGAACATTTGTTTTTATATTGTTTTTTAACCATGAGAATATATTACTAATTCATTAAAAAATAAAATGAACAAATCCAAACAGTGAGTAGGCAGTGCTGGTGTTTATGTTACCCAAATCAATCTCCCACTTGTCAGTAAGAGACACTATCTGTCTGATAGGAGGTAATGCTTCTTGAAGCTTCCAATCTCAGGGCCCCCAGATTTTTTTTTTTAACTGATAAAACCCGTTTACTGACTGTGGTAGGCAGAATAATGACCCCCTCGTCCTGCAGAGGTCTCCTCATCCTACTATCTGGAACCTGTGACTATGTGACTTTCCATGGCAAGGGGGAATTAAAGTTGTAGATGAAATTAAGGTATGAATCAGCTGACTTTAAGAGCAGGAGGTTATTCTGGATTATCCAGTGGGCTTAATAGCATCATAAGGGCTCTTAAAAGGGGAAGAGAGGCAGGAGAGGAAGTCAGAGAGATGTGATGTGAGACTCTACCTGCAGTTGATGGCTTTGAGGATGGCGGAAGAGGCCATAATCCAAGGCATGTGGGCAGCCTCTAGAAGCTGGAAAAGGCGAGGAAATGGATTCTTCTCCAGAGTTTCCAGAAGGAACACAGACCTGCCAACACTCTGATCTTAGCCCAACAAGACCTGGGTAGGACTTCCGACCTACAGGAGTGTAAGATAATAAATTCGTATTGTTTTAAGCTGCTAAGTCTATGATCATTTGTTATGGCGACTGTGGAGTGGGCTGAGGAGATGACTGGGGTCAAAATAATCCAACTGTAACTAGCTGCTCTAAAAACCTAACTGTTTATTCATCTTCTGAATTAAATTTGGATAAAGATGAATAAGGAAAAAAGAAACCAGGGATATTGGTACATTGTCATCCACTCTTTAATATAAGAAAGAAGACTGAAATCAGAGTGATATTCTTCCTTTGAAACTAAGATATTTTTCTTTTCCTAATTGTGTATTATTCCCTCTCCCTTCATCCTTGAAATTAAAAAAAAAAACAACCTATCATTAACCAATCAGTAAATAGAGAATACAAAGGAACAAGAATCACTCTTGAAATTAAACACACATCAGGACATGTCTAGGTGGATTTTTTTTTTTTTTAACAAATTGAGCTAGTTTGGAGTTCTTCCTTGGTGTCAGGGCCAACATTTTAATCCTGAAAACCTATCAGGTAGGAGTGATTAGTGTCCCCATTTGATTGATGATAAACCCAAAGCTTAAAGCAGTTGAGTATTTTTCCCGAGCTAATCAGTTTTGAATCCATGTCTGCTGACTCAAGGGCCCACGTTCTTAGCCACCGAGGTTCCCTGCTCTCACGTTCTGCCCCCTTTCCTCCTGGCTAGTCTTCAGAAGTGTTGTCCTTCAGATCTTGCCTTCTGGCTTCTCCCTACGAAGTATTTCTCATCCATAAACTTCATCATGTAATCTCTTCCCTTCACATTCTGTCTTTCAAGTCACTGGTCCCTATTTTTCCTAACCTCCCCTCTGCTCTCAACAGCTTTCAACATAGATTTTAATATTCTGTTGCACTTTTAGCGTACTTGTGTGAGCACGTGTGTTTGGCTTTTTTTTCAAGGCTGATCACTGAAAATAATTCTATATTTGCATATATTTTCTCTTTCATCTGTTGAGTCATAGAGACACATAGGAAAACACAAAGTAAAAACACAAAGTAAATGCTTTCTAATTTTTCGTCTGGTTTTTCATGAAAGATCCTCTCCTCAGATCCATGGCACCTTGTCACTGCTCTTGAGTTCTGCATTCCACAGAAGAGAAGATAGCTCTACCCGTACAAAGCACTAGGAATTAACAGTTCCCTCACCTTTCCCGTAGAGACTGGTGGCATCTCCCGGGTGGATCTTGACTTGGAGGCACTATCCAGGGCTGATTCTGACCAACATGGCCCACACGAAGGAAGGACTGATTACTACTCCCCGCTCTTCTAATTCTGTGGAAAGCCATTTGTCTTTTCATACTAGAAGTTATTGGAAAAGTTTCCCTGGAATTTTCTTGAAATTTTAAGCAGAAGCATGAAAAATACAATCTGCAGAGTGCATTACTCCCTGAAGCTTCCTGTTTATATCCCTTCTTGAAGCCTACTTCACATGCTACAGTGTCACGGGCCACCTGTCCCCTTTACCACTGCCTCACTGCAGAAAAGGGCATCTTTAAGAAAGTGGGGAAAAGAGGCAGTGATGACATTCCTACAAACGGATGCACACACGTGTGCGCGCTTTACCCTTTGTCTCGGGATGTCCAGGCAGGACAAAGGGCGTGGGTGGGAGCCTCTCTTTCACTGTCCTCCCGCCCCTCCTCTCTGCTGACGGACCTGCTGTTCTGCCTCATAAGGTGCAGTATTCTCTGGTGACTGTTACTTTTACCACCTGACCTCAGCTGGGCTTTGTCTAGTAGAAATGCCTTTCAGAGTAAAACTGTTGATATTTCTGCTTTGGGTGCTATGGCAACTTTGTAACTCACTGTAACCTTTCATTGCTATTATAATGGGGGAGATGAGAAGAGTGGATTGGTACGACTCCCATAAACCAGAAGTCAGCTCCGTGAAGACACCTTTGCTAGTAAGTGCTTCCTGTTTTTGTCCTCAGTGGGAGCCGTCATCTCCACGTACCATTTTTCCATCCCTAGCTACTTGTTCTATTTTCTTGACTTCTTTTCCATTTCATTCTGAAGCCCACCTAGGCTATGTCCTCAGACAGCACCAAAGACTTTCTGTGTTCATGTGGCAACTCTGTTCTGTTATCTATTGCTTGTCACCTTTAATTGCCAGCCTTTGAAACTGGTGCTGGCTGCCTGTCTCCCATTCAGAACCCTGAGCACCTTGCGTATATGTAGCCTCCTTTCATCCTAAAGGCTGCACACGAGGTTTTTTTCCAGGAGGCCCTGCTGTGCCCTTTTCTTCATCCTAACATGCTTTTCCTGACTGTAGGTTATACTCAGATGATTTATTGAGCCTTGTCTGTAACATGTCTTTGATTCCTGTATATTCACCAAGAACCCTGTCTGTCCCTAAATGAAAAGCACTTGGCAGGCATTTAACCTTATCTTCCTCTGCCACAGTTCTATTACATGCCTGTGTCAATGAAACCAACTCCCAAATGGTCTGCTACTTTTACTGAAACCATCTATACATCACAATCTGTTAGGAAGTCATAGAATCTGAGATTAAAAGGGGCTTTAAAATTAATTTAGTTATACATAATGACAAGAGGATAACATCATATACAATTGAACAGTCATGACGTGAAATTATATATACAATATGGCCGGGTGTGTGTGAGACTGTGTGGTGAGTGTTTGTCCTAGAAAAGGTAGACATCACAGTGTTGACAGGCTTGTCTCTGGGAGGTAGGATGACTGTTGCTTTTAATCTTCTTTCTTACATTCATCTACATTTTCTTTAATAAGCAATGCCATACTACAGGAAACACTGGAGAAACAAAAATTTCAAGGGGAAAATTTTTCATCCTAGAATTCTATACCAATGCAATTAATTACCTATAGCAGGCTAGAAGGCAGACATGTTAGATAGGAAAGTACAAAAAAATTTATCTTCAATTCATCCTTTTAGGAAGCTTGGTGGAAAGGATTTCTTACAAAACAAGGGAATAAGCTAATGTAGCAGAAGACACAGGATGCTGGAAACAAAAAATTCAAACCAAAAAATCTAAAGGAATTCCCAGAAAAAGCAGACATGCAAACAGTCATAGAAAGAAATCACCTTAGAAAGGAAGCTGAAAGGGGAGCTTGTTTTTGTTTTTGTTTACTTTGGGAGAAATAATTAAGAAGAAATTAGCTCTGATATGTCCCTAGATGTCATTTTCAATGGATAGTGTTATTCACACATTCATTCACACAGAACTTATGTATTAAGCACTTATTATGTGTCATTGTTATGCTACGTGCTGCTCAGAAGAGTGAACCAAAAAATCATCTGTTTTTATGTAGCATAAGAAGCTAATGGCAAGAGGTAGAGGGATAAATTAGGAGTTAGGAATTTGCAGATACTAACCACTATATACAGAATAGATAAACAACAAGGTCCTACTGTATAGCACAGGGAACTGTATTCAATACCTTGTAATAGCCTGTAATGAAAAAGAATATGAAAAGGAATATATCTCTATAGATGTGTAACTGAGTCATTATGCTGTACTTCAGAAATTAACACAAAATTGTGAACCAACTACATGTCAATTAAAAAAAGAAAACTTATGCCCACACAAAAACCTGTACACAGATGCTTATAGCATCTTTATTCATAATCCAAAACTTGGAAGCAACCAAGATGTCCTTCAGTAGGTGAATGGATAGATAAACTGTGGTACATTCAGACAAAGAAATATTATTCAGCACTAAATACAAATGAGCTATCAATCCATGAAAAGGCATGGAGGAACCTTGAACGCTTATTACTAAGTGAAAGAAACCAATCTAAAAAGGCTACATATTATATGACTCCAACTATAAGACATTTCGGAAAAGGCAGAACTACAGAGACATTAGAAAGATTAATGGTTGCCAGGGGTTGGAGGAAGAGAGGGATGAACAGGCAAAGCACAGAGGAATTTTAGTGCAGTGAAACCACTCTGAATGGTATTATGATGGATACATGTCATACCTTTGTCCCAATCCAATGAATGTGTGTATAAACACCAAGAGTGAACCCTAAGGTAAACCATGGACTTTGGGGGATAATGATGTGTCAGTTGATAATGATATGTTCATTGATTGTAGCAAACGTACCACTCTGGTGCAACTAGTTGCTAGTGGCGGACGAGCAGGGGGTATATGGGAATTCTCTATACTTTCTGCTCAATTTTGCTGTTACCCTAAAACTGTTTAAAAAACTAGTCTATTAAAAATGCTAAAAAAAGAAGATAATGGCTATTACCTTCTTTAATTTTCCCCACAGCCCTATTTTGTAAATGAAGTCTTTCCCCCATGTAATAAATAAGGATGTCAAGTTCAGAGGGTTTGCATAACCCACTCAGGGTTGCCAATTAACAAGTGCCAGGACTGGGATTCAAACGCGGACCTAACGCTTGTATCGTCTTGGCTGTGTTCAAAGCTTTTTTCTTCAGGGGAAAAAAAGGGTCTTTGCCAAGAAATCTGCTTTCTTAGAATTGTATACTTAGCAAAAAATGGTAAGGAATATAATTTTGAAAACTCTCGGGGCTGGCCATTTTGCGGATGATGCGTCTGGATAAATCTGTACCTGATCGTCTGTGACAACACGCTCCTGTACAGATGGACGCCGAGCAGACGATGCTGCAGCCCGCCGCCTGAGTTACTGCTGCACTTCCCAAAATGTCTGCTCAGCATAACTGCAAATTGAAAATAAACTTGTAAACCATTGTCAGTGATGTAGCCCAAAGACTTTATGTGCTGAAGTGTCTTTAAAGTTGTTTTTCATTACAGTCTGCCCTTTTTCAATGGGCAGAATTCATTTTCTCCTCTTTAAGTGTGCTCAGCGAGGGGAAAACGGATCTTGAAAGGAAGATGAAGGTCTGATTTCCTGGTGCTCTGTGCGAAATGCATCCCATTTTTCAAAGCTGGGATTATTCTCTTCCTGCCTCTTCTCGCCCCATGTGACCCCACAAAACCCCTTCTCCAATAGTCTATCACTCTCAGGCAAGCTGCTCCAACGGACTTAAATTGCAGCCAGCCCAGAGATATTCACTGGGTGTGTACAGGTGTCCAGCTTCTCTGATGTTAGGTTTGATGTAAGTCCTTATACCAACGTCAGGGCTGGTTAGCACAGTGCTTTCAGGGTTCAACTCTGCAAACCACAACTGCCTGGCTTCTAATCCCAGCTTCATCTCCACTGAGCTCCATGACCTTGGACAAGCTACATAGTCTCCCTGTGCCTTAACTTTCTGTAACATAGGAGTAACAACAGCTCCTTCACTGTAGGATTCTAATGGGAACTAAGGGAGGAAACAGATGTAAAGCACCATGGGCAAAACATGTGGGTGATTTGGGGTTTTACCAACTTTCTTTTCACCTGTCTTCTTGTCTTCAAAATAATTTGCCGCAGTATTTCAAACAAACGAATCTCCATGTAATCGACCCTGGATTCGATAAGCAATCAGATTTCAGTCCCAATCTCTTCTCCCTAATCAGACACCGTGTCCCCTTAGGAAATGCAGTCAGCTCTGATGCCTCATTATCTGTAGGTTCCCTGTCTCTCCTGACACAAAAACCTTAGACTCCAGACACTTGCCTCCTGCCAAAGAGTGAGCACTCTTCTCTTTCTACAGCTGCCCTTCCCCAGGCACCTCCCGATACCTGCTAACTTGGAAATCTGTGTCGAGGATTCTGGCAAGAATTTAATTGGTAACTTTCTCAAAGTTTTGTATTATTAAGAGGTTTGTAAAGGCAAAACCAGATTTCAAAAAGGAAAACACCTCCCTTCAAACCCAGAAAATGCAGCTGGCGCTCTGTATTAGCTGTCTGGGCTATTGTAACTCCAGCCTTGAACACAGAAAACAATTCACCGCACTTACCAAACCTCTTCCTCGAGCACACTGAGGGCAA